TGAAGAAGGAATTGAAACACCCAGTAAGCCAATTAGAAATGACAGGAGAAAGTCTCACCAATAGGATGAATGAAATGGAAAACAGAGTATCAAAACTGGAAGATAAAGTGGATGAACTAGACCACTCAAGCAAAGATTATGAAAAATTTAAGCAATCACAAGAATGGAATATGCAGGAATTGTGTGACACCATAAAAAGACCAAACTTACGAATCATAGGCATACAGGAAGGAGAAGAATCCCAAGATAATGGCATGGACCAGATCTTCAACAGAATCATGGAAAAAAATTAACCAAAATTAAAGAAAGACATGCCCATACAAATACAAGAAGCATATAGAATACCAGACAGGACCAGAAAAGAAACTCTACACAGCGCATCATATTAAAAACACTACACATACAAAACAAAGAGACAATACTGAAAGCTGCAAAAGAGAAACAAGAAGTCACATATAAAGGAAAACCCATTAAAATAAGAGCTGACTTTTCAGTGAAAACTATGAAAGCCAGAAGAGCCTGGAGCAAAGTATTCCCAGGTTTAAATGACCACAGATGCCAACTCAGATTACTATGCCCAGCCGAAATGTCTATTGTAGTCGAAGGGGAAAGAAAAAATCTTCCATGACATAAATAAGCTGAAGGAATTCATGTCCGCAAACCAGCCCTTCAGAGAGTTCTGGAAGCAATACGAAGAGCTGAAGAAAGGAATGACTATACCCACAGGGTTGCGGAAAGAAATTCAATGAAGGTATAACTGTGGAAAAGTACAGCTATATCAAGAATGTAAACAGAAATAAAAATGGCAGGATTCAATACTCATCTTTCATTAATAACTTTAAATATTAATAGATTGAACTCCCCAGTCAAAAGACACAGACTGGGTGAATGGATTAAGAAACAAAACCCATCTTTTTTGTTGTCTTCAAGAAAGCCATCTCACTTTCAAGGACAGGCACTACTTAAAGGTAAAAAGATGGAAAAAAATACACCAAGCGAATGGTACTAAGGAAAACTAGGAGTTGCAATTCTATTATCTGACAAAATAGACTTCAAACTAAAGTTAATCAGAAAAGATAAAGAGGGCAACTTCATTCTGATCATGGGAACAATTGACCAAAAGATATCCAACTTCCTAAAAACAATACTACAGGACTTTAAGACCCAGATTAATCCCAACTCATTAAAAGTAGGGGACTTCAATACCCTAGTCTCCATTAGACAGGTCAACAAGACAGAGAGTTAACAGAGAGACATCTGAATTAAACAATACCATATATCAAATGGGCTTAACAGACATCTACCGAGTATTCCACCCAAGCACCAAAGGAAATACTTTCTACTCAGCACCCCATGGAACCTTCCCCAAAATCGACCATATATACTGGGGCACAAAACAAACCTCAACAGATACAAAAAGATGGAAATAATTCT